GCAGCGAGGGGGGGAGGGGGAGGAGGAGGGGGGGAACGAGAAGCCCTTCTGGTTTCAGGATCCCAACCTGAACACAATGCGATCGCCGCAGGAGGAGGAGGGCACGAGAAAGAGGATACGGCAAGACATAGCGAGGCTGATCCTCCGAGCAAACAGAGCGAGGAGGCGAGCACTTTCTGCTTGCTACCGGGAAGAGGACGAAACCTTCGACGAGCTCGAAGCACCAGTGCCAAAGGACGAGCTGATGCCGCAGGACGAGTCGCATGCGAGGAGGGGGTTCAAGGTGAGAGGCTGCGAGGCTGCTGGAGGGTCAGGGTCAACTCGATTGCCAGGTTCCTCCGCGTCAAGCCTGGGAGGAGGATTGGAGAGGAGGAGAACGACGAGGAGGAGCAGGAGCAGGAGCAGGAGTAGGAGCAGGAGCAGAAGGAGTAAGGGGAAGCGGAAGCGGAGTGGGAAGTAGAAGGGGAAGGAGAAGAGAGGATACGATGGACTATGCTCAGGTCCTGCAGCGAGCAGCGGATGTGACCACTTATGCTCGGGAGGTGCTGGGGGAAGACATGGCGTATGAACAAGTTTCCGTCTGCATCCCAATCCCTGCGGCTGAATCGGTTGCTCCCTCCCTCCCTCTCCTCCATCCCACTCTCCATGCCCTGACCTCCCCCTCCCCCTCCTCCTCCTCCTCCTCCTCCTCCTCCTCCTCCTCTTCCGAGCCCCTCCTCCCCTCGTCTGTGCCCTCACTCTCATTCAATGCTAAAACGCCTGCAGCCAATTGGAATGCGAAACGAAGAAATTGGTTTCGGCACGTCGGGTGGGTGAACCCTCTCCACTCCTCTCCTTCATTCCTCCTCCTCCTTCCTCCTCCTCCTTCCTTCCTCAAGCTTGAACTTTTCCCCCTTACCCTGTTTGTTCTCTTCTTTGCCACCGTCTTGCATAACAGCTCGTTGTTCAGCTCCTCGATTTCTTGAGGGCAGGATCACCAACAACGACTTCTTCCTCTTCGGCGCACAGGTTTCGTGATCCTTCCTACGAACAACCTTGTCCTGTGCACTCCCCTGATTGTGCACCTTCCTCCTCCCTCCCCCTCCCCCTCCTCTCTCTCTTCTTTCCACCTCCTGCTTGCCTCACGACTACAATTTACTCACTGCAAGTTTAGAAATGGGCACAAGAGTCTTCATACTCGCAGCTGTCGCTGAGCAAGATGAAATGTAAGAGAAGGGGAGGCACAGACGGAAGAGGAGGAGCAGGAGCAGGAGGAGGAGCAGGAGCAGGAGGAGGAAGAAGAGGGTCAGGAGGGTCAGGAGAAGCAGAAGGGCCAGGAGGAGGAGGAGGAGGAGGAGGAGGAGGAGGCGGGTGATATCCTGCTGGCAGATGCATTGCTTACCTACGACAAGATCAGGCCAACACAAGAGCAGGTGAATGAGGGGAAAGTGAGCGGAGGAGAGGAGCAGAGACGTTAGGGCAGGGGAAACCTTGAGTGAAGGAGGAAGGAGGAAGCGGAGGGAGGAGCAGAGTCGTGGAACGAAGGTGTGAGCGCTGGAGGACGCGGGTGACTGGCAGCAGGAGCGCATGCTAAGGGTGCCGACGGCGGGGACGAAGGACGCTTCACCGGGCATCAGGAGGGCGAAGAAGCGAGGAGGCGCTGGGAGGAGCAGGAGACACAGAGGGTTCGGAACGTGAGGAAGAGACTCGAGCTGACTTGAACTGCAGCGAACTGAGTAACGACCAGTGGATGGACATTCTGACGTGAGCCATTCAGCTTCGCCCCCTCAATATCCTCCTTCCCCTCCATCTCTTCGTCCTCCTCCTCCTCCTCCTCCTCCTCCTCCTCCTCCTCGTCTTCCTCCTCCTCCTCGTCTTCCTCCCCTTCTCCTCCCAGTCCTCCTCCTCCCTTGTTTCACTTCCCCCCGTGCTCAGTCTATCTTACATCTATCTCCTCCTCTTCACCTCCACGTTGACCTCTGCCTCTCTCCCCCGCAGGCTCAACTCAGACGTCCACTCTGCCCTGCTGCAGAGCCGGATGGCGAGGGAGGAGGAGGAGGACATGGCGAGGTTTGCGTGACAAGGCGACTAGATCTCGTGCTCCATGTCTGTTGTATGTTTCTGCGACTAAATCATCGCTTGCGATATGCTACATCCTGCTGCTGTGAGGAGGGGACGGATCCTGATACTGAAGGGGAGGAGGATATGGACGACCTTCTGCTCTGCGAAGAGCATCTGCCATGCTTGCAGTTAGCGGTGCGGCTGTCTCGCCCTCCTCCTCCTTTACCCGTTGGCATCCCTCACGCTCACGATCGTCCAGTTGTGCGACCCCACTGAGATGTCATGCGCCGACCCCTGAGGCAGCTTCATCTGCTGCTGAGACGAGGAGAGAGAAAGCAGCGGAGGGGGAGAGAGAGGAAGAGGGAGGCGAGAGAGGAGGAGGGAGGGGGTTGGAGAGGAGAGAAGGGAGGAGGATAACCTTGATGATCCTGCTCTTGTCGAGGCGAAACTCTCCTACCTCGAACTCGAAGTCCTGCGGGCAAGCCATCACCCGAGGAGGGCAGGAGAGGAGCTCGCCCTCACCTGCTCCAGCACGTTGCTGCCCTCGTCCTCGATCTGCACGGTGAAGGGAGGCGTCCCGTGGGTGAGGTTGACCATCATCCCTCCTGCCTCCCCCTTGCAGAGGTGCTTGCAGACCAGCGGCGCGAGGGAAGCACTGGGCGAGCCGAGGATGCGGATGGGGATCTGGGGGAGGACAGGGCAGCGTGAGGGCCAGAAAGGAGGAGGAGGAGGAGGAGGATCACCGAGAGGTCTTTCCTGCTGCAGGTCTTCACATCCCCCGCATCGTTGCGCCATTCGCTGGAGACGCTCGTGATGACCTGGGGAGGAGGTGAGGGGCAGGAGGAGGAGGGGGAGGTGACGTCACGACATGGTTGCCCTCTGGCAGGAAGCCGTCGCTGACGCTCGTCCCGCAGTGCCTCGACAGGAAGCTCCCGCTCAGCTGCAGCGACCGGTCGTGGATGTTGGTGATGGTGCAGGTCCGGCCCTTCGCCCCCTTCCTCTTGACCTCCAGCGTGACTGACCAGGGTGGGCTCCCGGACAGCTCCAGCGAAGGGGCCGCTCCTTCGCACAGCCCGCGGGTATCGGGGGCGATGGAGCTGCGGACAGCGACGGAAGGCAGGAGGTACTCGACGACCTTGAGGCTGCCCTGCGCCCTTCCAAGGCAGCCTCTGCTGTCAGTGAAGGTGTCTTCGGCTATCCTGTAGTCCCCCGAGGCCTCCGCCCGGAACGTCACGTGACCTCCATCGCGCGAGGAGTTGGGGACGGAGATGGTGGTGTAGAACTGCTCGTCCTTGAGGATTGTCATGTTCCAAGGGGCAGGCGCCTTGTTCCCCTTCACAGACACAACCACCTCCTCCGCCGCCTCTCCCACGCAGAAGCCCAACGTCCTCTTCTGGAAGCCTTCACGGCACGTTAGCTAGCGAGTCAATAGGCAGGGAGAAGGGGAATGGATGGGGAGGGAGCGGACGGGGGAAACGAAGGAGCGAGCGGAGCGGGGAGCGGGGATGGGCTGCCCTGACCTGCGATGGCTTGCGGGTAGCTCTTGATGATGGCACTGCCGGTGATGTCCGAGGCAGCAGCGGCACACTGCCGCGCGTCCCGCACGTGCGAGATGGTGTACGTCCCTTCCTTGCTGACAGGAAGCACCAGCACACCGTCAGGTGACGTCACCTGCTGCCAAAGAGGTCCTCCCTGCGGAAAGTAAGCCTCCTCCTCCTCCTCCTCCTCCTCCTCCTCCTCGCCCTCCCCCTCCCTCCATCTCCTCCTCCCTCACCTTGGAGTCCTGCTGGGGTTTCCCGTTGAAGGCCAGCTGGACTTTGTACGGCCGCTGTCCTCCTTGCACGTGAATCTTCACGTCAAGCGCTGCTCCTCCAGCTGAGCACTTGCTGCCTCCTCCCGAGATCGAGGCCTTGGGGCTCTCAAAGAGGCTCACGGCAACAGTCTTGGGCTTCCCGTCGACTCCTTGCTCCACGACAGGCTTGCAGCCTCCCGCTTCCACATCCACCAGCGTGTACACGCCCGGCTCTTTCACCAACATCTGGGCAGTTGGCTTCGTAGAGTTCAGCATCATGACCTTCCCCGACGGCTGCAGGATGTGCGCCGTCCACCTTCCCCCGTACCCGCTCGACTCCCGGACTTCCAGCGACGCCTGACCGGTCGAGCTGCAGACGTCAGTCACGCCGCCGCGGAGCGAGAAGACAGGGCGAGGGTGGACAAGGAGAGGGTACGAGAGCGTCCGAGAGCAGGTGCGATCGGTGATGCTGGTGATGGTGTACTGGCCGGTGCTGAATTCTACGCTGCGAGAAAGGTCCACTTGGTGGACGACCCATCCTGACTTGTTCTGGGCTGCCACTTTGACCTTCTTCGTCTCGTTCCAGCTGGGACTGGCTATGGTGATGACGCCATCGCCGGTCAGGTTGGCTCGCACAGAGACCTCTTCTCCCACGCAAACGTCCAGCCTGTCAGCCTCTCTCGCGCACTCCATGCTGGCGACGTCTTGCTTGCAGGTTGTGGTCATGGTCAGGGTGGGAGCAGGCATCAGAACGACCTGCACAAGCCCTCCTCCCCTCACTGTGCACGACCTCGCATCTGTCACGGAGTACAGGCTGTAATTCCCGGCAACTTCCACTTGGAAAGTGAAATTGCTGCGTCCAGACTTCTCAGAGCCTGAGTCGTCTCTATGATGCTCGATCCTCCTCCAAAATTCCCCGTTCCTGTGAATAACAATCGACCATGGCCCCTTCCCTTGCACTTCTCCCGAGACCGCATGAAAGACGCCAGGACAAGTCTGGATTGTTCGGTTCAAAATCCTGCCAGTGAGGATTTCACCCTTGGCTGACACCTGCACGTTCTTGTTCTGTGCTTGCATGGAGGCGTTGCTGCATACGGAATCGTTGAGGGAGACGAGGGAATAGCTCCCCACGTTTTCCACGCTGATGCTGAACGTCCTCCTCGTCAGGTTCGCAGCCTTCAGGATGGTCCCATTGGGGTAGAGCAGGCTGAACGACCATGGCGGGACTCCGACGTCGAGCTTCACATCGAGCTGCGCGTCCTCGTTGCCGCACACATCGCTGCGGATCGACAGAGATCCCGTCGGGACCTGCTGCACGGCCAGCGTTGACACCCACGTCACGCTCTCCATCTCTGCAGCGCAGCCGCTGTTGTCCGACAGCTGAACGATGCCCCATAGCCCCCGGTGCAAGAGGAGGTCGTTGGGCAGGACATGCTTCCCGGCGCTCGGGTACTTGACGGAGACGGTCTTGTCCGTCCCGACCAGCGCGAGCTCGACCTGGAAAGGAGGAACTCCCTGCAGCTCAAGCAGCTTCTCAGTGAAGCTCTTGACAAGGGGCAGGCAGATGGGGCCCGAGTGGAGGATCCGTGCGGTGGGAGGAGACGCGACGCTGACCACGAAGGGAGCAGTACTGACTGTGCCGTTGCAGAAATGAGCATCGCAGACCCTGCCCAGGGTGTACTTCCCAGGAAGAGACGTCTCTACGGTCTCGGTGGCAAGGGTAGTAGAGGACCAGGAGAAGGCGGCAGGGTTGATGAGCAGGCTATCGAAGTACTTGCTGTCTCGCAGGATGGTGACCTGCATTGGAGTCATTCTGGTGTCTCGTCCCAACAAGACATATCCTGCCTTCCATGGGCCGGTGCCGCCCTGCACTGACACTGCCAATTTGGCGGTGCCCCCGTCACAGATTGTGACGTTTCCTGGTCGCAGCTTCGCGGATGCAGAAGTATGCTCGACGTGAATCTCGATCCATGACGGCCAGCTGCCGATCGCAGAGTCAAGCATAGACGCGACATGCCCGCATAGAGGGGCGCGTTGGGAGAGGGACTTACCTGCTGACCCCAGGGCAGGCGGCGAGGAGGGCGAGCAGGAGGAGCCAAAGGCGGCGGTTCGGCTGGGACATCAGAGACAGTGTGGGATGATGATGCTGGGAGTTGTTAGCTCATCTTGCTTCATCCTCTCTCCTCCACCCGCCCATGCGCTTCCTACCTCCTACCTCCCCGTGCATGGGGTAAGAATGATTCGGAATTTCAAACTTGGTTTTAAACAACATAAGGCATATTTCAAATAAAGAAGCACGCTTTTAACAGCACTGAACCAGAATGGCGGGGAGGGCGCCGAGGAAAAGGGACGGAGCGGGGAGCAGGGAGGGGAGGAGAAGACGGGCAGGCATGTAGAGACAGACAGGCATCGAGAGATGAGAGGAGTAGGATGCGAGGAAGGACGAGCAGCAAGAGAGACTGAGAGACGAGATTTCATGGAGGGCGGGAAGGGGAGCGAGGGGGAAGAAGGTTTCAATCAGTTGAGAGATAGAGTATGCAGCGGTGTAGTCCCTACCGTGCGCGTTTCCTGACAGTGTCTCTTGCAGGAACAGCCGAAAGAACGATGCCCTCGCAGGCATTGGAGGTTGGTAGGAGGGTGAAGGTTCTCTTCGACGAGACAGACTGGTATATCGGACATATACAAGATTACGATAAGGAAACTGAGCTATACACGATCTTCTTCGAGGATGGGGAGCAGATCTCGACCACAATCCCCGCGCCAGATGATGATATCAGGATAGTGCTGACAGAGGAGGAGATGGAAGGGCTGTACAAATGGTTTCCTGCAGCGGCCAAGAAGGTTCTCCAGGAGGTGCTCGACAAGGTTTGCCGGCCCCGCGGGAAGCTTCTCGTGCTGATGTGCGTGCAGATGCAGGTGAAACCAGCAGCTCGACAGAGCCTGAGCGAGACTTTCTCGAGCAAGTGCAACGAAGTGATCGAGAGCTTGAGGTGCTCACTGCCCTTTTCCTTTGCTTTTCTCAACCTCTCGTTCCAGGGCGGATTCGACCCGGTGCAGCACCAAGGAAGAGTTTCTCAGCGTGACGTCGCAAGCGCTGCGCGATGTGCTGCTGGATCAGAAGTCGCTGATGGCGGAAGCAGACTTCCAGTCGTTGGTGGCGGAGCTGGAGAAGTTGATTGCAAGCACAGATTTCATCAAGAAAGCGCCGAGCGGCGGCAAGAACAAGCTTGTGCTGAGCCTCAAGCAGAAGAAAGTCACAGAGGCTTCGCAGATGGATGTCTCGCAGTCTCCCTCACAGCTCATGGTCAGCGATGTGGTGAAAGAAGAAAGTGCCGGTAAAGAAACGCCCACTCGACCTGGAGGGGTAGCGGGCAAGAAAGGCGAGCTGTGCGAGGCGTTCGCGGAGGGCGAGTGGTGGCTGGCCAAGATCATCCGATGCAAGCAGGGAAAAGCTTTGGTACGGTTTGAAGGAGCAGGGCAGGAGGAGGACTGCTGGTACGACCTGAACGGGGAGTACATCCGTCCTCGGCAGGAGGAGGAGGAATTCATCTTTCATGAGGAGGTTGAAGACGAAACGTCGTCCACTCCTGCCAAGGAAACGCCCAAGAACGAGACGAAGCCGAAGATATCCAAAACTCCACCCGAGAAGGCTGGAGAGGATGTTGCGAACGAGGTGGAATGGCTGCCAGGCGATCGCTGTCGCGTGTGGGAGGAGGGCGAATTCGATGAAGGGACTGTGGTGAAAGTTAGGAACAAGACTGTCTTAGTTCGTAAGGACTCTTCCAAGTCAGAGATATGGCATGTTAAGAATTCTAACACAATCCAAGCTCTGCCAGAACAACCACAGGCAAGCAGCAAGCAGAAAGTTGCTGTTGATAAGAGCACCCCCGGTAAATCGAAGAATGCAGGGCAGCGCAAGAGCAAGGGCGCTACTCCCTCTAAGGATGCAGTGAAAGATGTACAGGCTGCGTCGTCGAAAGAGATCGAGCTGGGGGTGCAAGAGACGTTCGACGCAGATTCGAAGCAGAACGAGAAGGCAGGCAACAATGCTTTCAGTAAAGGAGATCTGTGCGAGGCGTTCGCGGAGGGCGAGTGGTGGCTGGCCAAGATCATCCGATGCAAGCAGGGAAGAGCTTTGATACGGTTTGAAGGAGCAGGGCAGGAGGAGGACTGCTGGTACGACCTGAACGGGGAGTACATCCGTCCTCGGCAGGAGGAGGGGGAAGAGATTGAAATTGAAAGTCCAGAAGTCAACGAGGTTCCAGAGGTTGAGATTCTTTGAGTGGTGATGGAGAGAGTGATGATTGCTGGAGCAGGAGGCGACGACTGGAAAGCATAAGAAGAGCAAGAAAGGCAAGGACGTCTCCGCTGAGATTGTCTACATGGAAGAGGAGATCGAGTCCAAGGAGGTGGGCTCGAGTAGCAAGGCCAAGAACCGACGGAGCTTGAGATCATCGCTCGGTGGTGGGGAAGGTAACTTCACACGCCGTGAGCCCAGCAGGAGTTGCTGATGGATGTCCCAAGGTGAAGCAGCACCCGAGGCTGAGCAAGCGAAGAAGAACGAGAGGAAGAGCTCCAAGAAAGGAGAGAAGGAGACCGTGGAGGAAGCCCCTGAGGCACCTGGTGAAGGTCCCTCGAGTTCAGAGGTCGTGCTGCTGATGTTGACTAGCAGAGCCGAAGACGACTGAGGCGAAAGATGCTGGAAAGCGGTCGAAGAGAAAGCGCAACAGCGACATCCTTGAGGAGGCGAAGCAGGACAACGACGTGGACATGACGATCAAGGCCACGAACGAGATCAACACGTTCGTCACTGAATACAACGATGAGCTGCAGAAGCTACAAGGCATTTACAAGGTACAGTCAGCTTCGAAGCTTCTCCCCGTCTTCAAGGACATCCCGTCCCCTTGTCTCCACACCACCATCACCTTCCCCTTCTCATCCTCATCAATCTCCTCCTCCCTCCATTTGCGTTCTCGTCATTGAGGTTGATTTGTTCAGAAATTCAAGGATAGCGTGGGACGTGACGACATTGAAAGGTTGACAGCAGAGATTCACTCAGTTCATCTTCGATTCCATGCGAGATCCATCGGACAGTCCATCGCGGGGATCTTCCGCCTCCATGGCGTGAAATGCAACTCGTGCGGTGCCAAAACTCCGGGGAAGAAGCCCATGGACGCCTGGAAGCAAGCTTACACGCAGTGCAGCCGGTGCGGGGAGCTGCACGCGAAGAAAAGGTACTGCAGCGTGTGCGACAAGGTCCTCAAGGAGATCGAGACTGAAGATCAGATCCTCAAGTGCTCCGTCTGCGACCTCTGGGTCCACGGGAGATGCGACGACCTTGATGAGCTCTCGCTCGTGGGCATGAACCTGCTGAGCTCGGAGCACTATGTCTGCCCCAAGCATCGGCGAAGCCCGTCGGTAGCATGCAGCATCGGGGAGTACCGCTGCATTACCATGCACACCGACTACTCGGGCAACATACTGCAGGCCACGCGCGTGTTCGGGGTCAGGACGATCGCTGGCGGCTCGATCGCGCTGGGGCTGCAGGTGGAGGGAGGGCTGGTGTGGTACCCCCAGCGAGCCAGCGCGGAATCGAAGGAGGCGAAGCTGATGAAGGACCTGCTCTTCCGCTTCTTCTCTACCGACCAGAACCTGAACCTGGTCATCCACCCGGACATGCCTGACGCAAAAGCCAAGGCGAAGCGATGGGGAGAGATCGTTCGCGTGTCCGGGGGAGCAGATGCTCCTCTAAAGATTGGGCAAGTAGCCATGCACGAGCCTTGTCCGACGTACGTCGAGGTACAAGAGACGCGCGTGTGCTTGACGATGACTGACGTCTTCTCAAGGCCATTACGGGAGTTCGAAAGCTTCCGAGCGATCTCTTTCCTGCCTCAGGTGGGTCCTTCATGTCGGACATCTACGTGGAGGTCAAACGTGGAGGACTTCAAGTCTGGACCAGGTGACCCCCTTCGCCTCCTCCCTTGCGCGTGACTCACCGACTGCGACCCAGACTGCCTCCCAGGAACACGACCATGCATGCTCTGCTCGCCTCCTTCCTCCTCACCTCAGGTAAGTCGGTGGAGACGTTTCCGCTAGCCGACGACTCTGAGCTGTCTGGCAGTTGGGATCATCTCGATTTTCCTCCCCATCAACGTCAGAGAAACTTTCCTCAAGCAGGTACGCGCTGCTTGCTGTCGATCTCAAGAGCTGATGGCAAGGGATGTGAAGGCGAATCTGTGGGACTCGTACATGGAGGGGCTCGGTGACACGGCAGGAAAAGATACCTCGGTGCGCTACTCCTCCTTCCTATACGCGCACGCGAGCATACATACCTACACAAGCTTCTCCTTCTCCTTTTTGAAGTTCATTATCTCCTGTGTGCAGAGTAATTTGACGGCTCGGGCGATCAACTCGGATGGGTCTGCACTTTCCTCGAGCAAGTTTGACGTCACAGAGCTCAAGGTAAGAGATGCTCGGAGAAGGGAAGCACAGTGCCGTCTGACAGGCTTGACAGGACGATGACTCGGTCCCGAACGTGGGGGTCGTTGGCTGTACCATCATGCAGGATGGAGCTCCTGGCGTCGTCGTAGATCAGAGGTACGAAGTGACGTGCTCGATGAATGACGACGACGATCATGATGATGTAGATCATGATGATGATGATGTCGATCATGACGATGATGATGTCGATCATGACGATGATCATGACGTAGATGATCATGATGATGATGGAGATGGAGATTACAATCATGACGATTTTTCCTAGGGGAGACACTTGCGCTGTGGTGATGCAGGATGGGGAGACGGTCGAGCTTTCGACAGAAGTTGTGATGGAACTTATCATCTGATCCTTGCGCACCCCCCTCCCTCCCTCCCTCCCTCCCTCCCTCCCTCCCTCCCTCTTCTTCACTCCCTCCTTCCACGTCTCGTCTCAAAGTCCTCGTCCTCGATATCATTCCTTCTCTCTTCTCGCGCAGCTCATTCAAGAATCTTTTAATTGCTTTCATCGCTCTACAACTTCAGAGTGACTCATCGAGAATGAATAAACCATGTACAAGAGGAGGGAGGGAGGGAGGGAGGGAGGGAGGGAGGGAGGGAAAAAGGGGGGGGGGGGATGAGGCTGGCGGACCAGAGGTCCGCCAGATGAACCAGAGGTCACCAGATGAAGCCCTGGCACGACGGAGAGCCGCAGAAGCACTTCCTGCGCTGGCGTCAACCACCTGGCAAGGACTGGAGGCCTCTGTCTCACTGGGTCCGCACGTTTGGCTTGCAACCATCGCCCCTGTAGTTGTACGACAACTCTTCGTAGGCGAAGATAGTGCGGGTCGACACTAGCGCGATCTGACAAGACACCAGGGGGGATCAGCAGCTGGCAGCGCAACGAGAGTCAGTCGCACCCTCTTGGGCATCTCCGACTTGATGTCGTTGGCGCTCGCCAGGAAGTCAACGGCCCTAGGGGAGGATGAGGGAGCGGGCAAGAAAGTCGACAGACATACTTGAGGTTGAACCCATCGCAAGCATGGTTCACGAAGCGACCGACCTGTGCGGTTGGTGCGGCTCACAACAAGGTAGAGTGCAGTGCGACGAGAGAGACAGAAAGACAGCGACAGAGAGAGACAGAGAGGAGACAAAGGGAGCAGGGGAGAAAGGGAGGGAAGGCGGAGGGGAGGAGGTGTTTAACTCTCACTCACATTCCCGATCTTCAAGGCATCAACATCCCATCTGCTCGAGAACAAACGTCACCGCAGCTCCTCCCGACCAGCCATCACCTGTGTCCCCGTAGCTGGAAGTAATAATCTTTCGGAGACAGTCTCGGCGGAGAGTCAGACTCCTCGCATGACTCCCAGGACCCGTCGCTCTTCTCGGCTACTTCGTGCGAATCGTCCTTTGACGGGAGAGAGAGGCTCTCTTCCTTGCCCACGTGGAACAGACCGTCCTCGCACACCCTCCTGCACCTATCCTTCCTGCACAGCTCCCCAGCATACTCTAGCACGGCTCTTCCCTCTAGAAAGAGGGATAAGGGAGAGCAAGGCTTCCAAGGACAGACCTGGAATGTCCTCCAGAGCTCGCACGCCCCATCCCCTCTCGGTCTTAGTGTCGAAAACTTCTACCTGCAAACTCCGCGTCAGCAGATCCAATCATCCTCATCGGTACATCGACCTTGTACTGCGAGCCATTCGCCAGCTGCTCTTTGTATGGCGAATCTAAAGACAAGAATTCAACTCTGGCTGCTGCGATTCTGGAGGCCAACGCTTGACGTTCCTGAGGTCACGTGCAGGTGAGGGACTCAAGGAGGTTGCACGTGCTGCTCACTTTGGCCGACTCTGCACACTGCAACGACAGCGCTCCAAACTTGTAGTATTCAAACTGCAACTCCCCAGGACTCCGATCGCAGTACACGTTGTCCTCCCACTGAGAAGCAAAACCACAAGAGGAAACAAGTCAGTCAATCGAGGCAACCAGGGTGTATCAAGTCGAATGATACATCCACGCAGGTAGTGAGATCATACATCCATGAAGGTAGTACACCACTTGGCAACGACAACACGAAAACTCATAGCAGGCTGGGTCACCTGCCATGCAGGATATCTTCGTTTGTACTCAGGTAAAGACCCAAGAACGCCCGGCGCGAGCCCGGACAGTAACCCGATGATTGGCAGCACACAGCCTTCAATCTTGACGCACGAGTCATTGCGCGTTCAAACTGGCAGGGAGGAGACAGACCTGTCCGTTCTTGTCCATGTGCAAAGGTTTCAGATTGGACCCTGCAAAGAAGCGTCAAAGGAAGCAGCAAGGCGGGGCTGAGGTGAGATTCCTGAAAGCGTGATTTGAGTAGAATCTTCAAAGCAAACGGTGTAGGCAGGGCCAACCTCCCCCTCGCTACTGTTACATTCCATCTCAAGGCCATTCTCCATCTCCTGCAGGAGCTTCGAAGGATTCATTCTCTGGATTATTCTGCCATATTTCCCCCGGAAAAATACCACCCGACCAAGGAGGTTCTCGTCAGTTCCACCAGGCGATGATTCTTGCGTGCTGCTATCAGCCTTGGGTGAGTCACAAGCTCTTGGAAACTTCTTCTTTGCATTCTTCTTCAGCTTCCCATTCATCACAGTCTTGCTCGCCGGTCCATCCATGCACATCTCTTCGTCCTTCTTAGCCTTCTTGCCATCCTTCTTCGCAGGATCCGCACGATTTGTGCTCGCCCCCTTCCCACCCGATGGATGCGCTTTCCTCTCTTCCTTGGGGGGTTCGACTCTCTGAGGACGTTCCCGTAGCTTGCGATCGCTCAGATCTCCCAGCCATCCCGTAGCCTCGTGGAGTTTCCGCAGCCTTTTCTCCTCCTGGAGTCTGGCCTCCATGTTGCAACGCTCCTGTACTATCTTGGCGTACTCTTCGTCGTCCTTCAAAGGCCCATCTTCTTGTGTGTCCCCATTCTCACCGGCCGTCTGGCATGCAGATTGAAGCTCATCGAGCAGCTGAGGAGTTTTTCTCTTCAGTTTCGGCGTGGCTGTCCATCCTGCTTCGTTGTTGAACATCTCCTGCTCTCTCCGGGCGATCTCCTCATCCCGCCTCTGCTGGATCCTTTGAAGCTCTGCCGCCTCGTCCTCCTGCTGTTGCAGCATGCGAGCAAGCTCTTCGTCGGTGAGGCCTTCGCTCTGAGAAGCTTCAAAACCAACACCATCAGTATCAGGGCTTCAGGGGCAAGGCGGGCGGTGGTGCAACAGGAATTACACACAACTTCTGGCGGGATCAGTGATGAGAAAAGATCAGAGACATAAGAGACATACAAGACATAAGAGACATACAAGACATACAAGACATACAAGACATACAAGACATACAAGATATACAAGACATAAGAGACATACAAGACATAAGAGACATAAGAGACATACAAGACATAAGAGACATAAGAGACATAAGAGACATAAGAGACATACAAGACATACAAGACATACAAGACATACAAGACATACAAGACATACAAGACATACAAGACATGCACGAGATAATGGGAGCGGGGAGAGTGAGTGATGTCACAAGGCAACTACCTTCTATCCTCAAATCGCCATCGTCGGGGATCCACCTCCTCCTCTTCAGGGGCGGGCGGTTGCTAGGACCTTCCCCTGAGTCTTCCGGCTCCTCCCAGCCCTCGTTGTCTGCCATGCCCTTCTGTCCCTGCTGGCTCTCCTCCTCCGCGTCTCCCTTCACTCGCCCCTCCCACCTCGAGCATGGCGCCATATCGACCATGTACCGCCTTTTGTCGAGGGGCACCACTGGCCTGCCCCGGCCGCTCATTTCAGCCTGCAGTCGGGCCCGGACTCCGGGACTCGCGGCCCGGCCGGGCGCCGCGCGGCCCGCCCGGCCGGTCACCGGCCCGGGTGACCGTCACCGCCGGTGGCGCGGCTCGGACCGCACTGCCGGCCCGGGCGGCCGCCGCCGCCGGGTCCGAAGGTTCAACCGTGTTTGGAGGCTCAATCCGCCGGCTCGCCTACTGAGGCTCGCCGACGCGGGGCGCGAGGCGGCGGATTGAGTACTCACTGATCGGACGCGGGCGGCGAGGCCGCACTGCGGGACTTCAACCGAGTCCAGCGTGACTCTGAGGCCGGGCGGGGGCGGCGGCCGCCCGGCCACCGGCGTGAGTCAAGATCAGACGGGTTCTTCGTCTACTGGCAGATCCCGGGCGCCGGGCGCCCGCGGCACTGCGGCACTCAGCGGCCCCCGCAGCCTCCGAGGAGGCTCCGAGGCACGGAGGCTCCCGAGTCCCCGCCGCCGCCAGGGGGCCGCCGGGGCTTCCCCGGCCCGGGCCCCGGGGGGACCACCGCGACTCGGCGGCCGGCGTCGGAGTCACGACGCAGCCGGCGGCGCCCGACACCCCCCACTGTGACCGAGCCGTGGGGTTGCATGCGGCGGCCTGAGTGCCCGGTGGCTGAGCCAGCGGCGGTGCGGCGCGGCCGCCGCTTGAATGATTCACGGGCCGGCGGCAGTGGCACTCATCGGGCACTCTAACTTAGTGAGGCCCGGAAAACGCCACTGACCCACCCTTCCTTTCCTCGACTCATATTGGGGAATCGTACCCGTACGGTACAAACTCCATCTATCTACCACCTACCCCTTCCCCTCTACCGTATTGAGCACTTTGACCTTGACTCTCCTCAGTGTTGGTACAAACCCCAGACAGAATTTCAATTTTACATCAGAATTTTTCAAATTTTAAACAGACTACCCCACCCTCCGCTCGGATAATATAGTCTGTCAAGCTGCTCCCCAAAATAGATCCGGTGGCGATGGCGGCATTGCGGGCACTGCTTGTGTTCGCATGCGTGACTCTTGCTGTCATGCTCGTGCAGAGAAGCGTCAAGGTGAGAATTGAAGCTCGTCATTCACTGCTCTGCTCACTGTCACCCATCTCACCTCTCCTTCCAATCTCTCTCCCTTCTCTCGAAGTGTTCATGACCTTCGGAACCAATGGGAACAAACAACTCTCTGCATTTCACAGTCAAGCGGTTGCAAACCTCGAAACTAAATACTTACTCGTTTGGCTTCCAGGGCAGGAGGCTTTCATCAGACTCGCTGCTTCAGACTAGCGTGCCTGTAGCGATGCCATGGAATCCAAACGCTCAAGTTTTCCGTCCTCCTCAGTTCAACACAGCATCAAAGGTAGCAGTTCCCAGAGCAGCAGCCGTTCAGTGGCCACAGAACTTCAGGACGTATCCAGGTGTGTTGCTGATTCTCCTTCGACGCGAAGCAGAAGTTGTTTGATCAATGGCGCTAGGTCAAAAACTGCAGGATGCTGCACCTGCAGCTGACGCGGCAGCCGCGCCTGCTGCTGATGCTGCTGCAGCACCGGCTGCTGATGCTGCTGCTGCACCGGCAGCTGACGCAGCGGCCGCACCCGAAGCGGCCGCACCCGTCGCCGAGGCACCGGCAGCAGCGGCGCCTGTCGCTGCTCCCCAACCCGTCGCTGCGGCAGGTTATCCTCAAGCTGGAGCAGCTCCAATGGTGAGGCTTGAACGAGACATGTGAAGGCACTTGACTGACAACTTGTGGGGCAGGGTACTTCTTGTCCATGCTGTCTGACTGCAGCGCCAGTTCTGACACAGTGTATCTAGGAGGATACATGCCCCAGGGATACCCTCCTCAGGGCTATGCGCCACAGGGATACGGATATCAGGCACAGCCCATGTATGGATCAGCAGCATCCGGATGCTTCGCTGCGCAACAGTGCACTGGCACGTACAACGAGGACAGACTGAGCGCAGAGGGGGTAAGGAGCCGTTGCCGTACAACTTGCCTGGCTCCATTGGATTCTGAACCTCTTCCTCGTCTTGTAGGTCTCCGACCAACTGCAGAGCATTCAGGCTCAGTGCTCCGCCCTCACCAAGATGGTCAGTCTGACCTCGAGCGTTGATGAACTTGCGATCTGATCAGGCCCGGTCAGGTCAAGTGCATGTGCGAGAGCTGCGAGACTACTGCTGAGACCGATCCTTCCTTCGTCGCCCTGTGAGCTCTTGACGCTCTCCGATTCTTGGATTGACTGATGCGCGTCAAGGCATGACGAGTCTTGCTCCCCTGCCAAGATCGCCGAGTACCACCTTGCCGGAGGAGCCTGCGTTGGGTTTGCCTCTGGATACTGCGGCCTGAAGCTCGACCAGTAAGTCTTGGGGCTGACGGGAAGCAGGGGAGGGGTGACTTTGCCTTCCTCCAGGACCTTCTGCGAGAACTTCGCGGTTCCTCCTGTTCTTGGGTCTGCCAACTGGTTGAAGAACCATGCTGTCGTCGATCCTGGTATCTCCCATGCCGAGCTGGAAAGTCTGAGCCCTCACGCCCTTGCGCAGGTGCTTCTGCTGCTACCGCGGGAGAGAACCTCTTCAAGAACCAGGCACGTGCTAGCTCCTGCTCCTGCTCCTGCTCCTGCTCCTGCTCCTGCTCCTGCTCCTGCTCCTGCTCTTGGTCGTCGTCGTCCTTGCCATAACTGCCAGACCTGCAGATGCCTCAGTACGCACAGGAGGTCGCCGACTCCATGAGCAAGTACTTCACAGCTGGAGCAGCCAACGAGGCAGCCAAGGCTCGTCTCACCAACGCCATGATCTCCCAGATCGAAGAGCTTCGCCCTGCAGGTACCTCCCTTGCAGAGCTTCCTCCTCCTCCTCCTCCTCCTCCTCCTCCTCCTCCCTCTTTCCTTTCTACTTCTGCTGACACTTCGCATTTCAGGCTCATCTGGCTCAGCAATTTCGGGAACTCCGGCGGGCAGCAACAGCAGCGCCTGGTACTGCCTTGGCATCCTTTGCTGAGCGAATTTCTCGCGTTGCCCTTTCCTCTCCCTCTCCCGTAAGCAATCTTAGCACTTATTTCTCTCTCAATACAACTCAAGTTGGTCAATCCTTCATGCTGACCGGCCTGTCTGGCTCCTGCTCCTTCTCCTGCTCAATCGCCTTCACCTCTTCCACCGTAACTTCCCTCAACTCATTGTTCGCTTCCTCCTACTAGACTCGCTCGCAGGTGCCCCTGCGAAGATTCTTATCGCGACAGCGCTTGTAAGATCAACGCGTTTAACATTCTTATTCATAATCCTTTCACACCCTCAAGGTATCCGACCCAATCTCCTTTCCCTCCCTTCCGCATCCTCGTCATCAACGATCCTTGGAAAGTTTCTCCAGCTTCTGAATCTTCTTCTGCAGGTTTCGCTCCACCAACGAGAAGCGACTGCTCACGTCTCGTCACCGACCAATTCTCCTCCTCCTCCTCCTCCTCCTCCTCCTCTTCACCTGTTGTGCATCTCTACATCTCGCTCGAGAGCTCTCCGCTTCTCCACCAGCTCCTGCTCCTTGCGCCGGACCTGCTTCTTCTCATCATCACCCCTCCTCTTCCTTCCTCCCTCCTCGTCCCTCTATTTCCACCCCTCTCCCCTCCTTCCCTCCTTCCGTTGCCCTCTTCCTCTGCCCTGACCTCTTCTGCTCTCCGCTCGATCATGGCAAGATGTTCGATGGGATCCATGGGGTAGGCAAGATGGTCAGAAGCGGATGGGCGGAGGAGGTCGGAGGCGGAGAGGGACTGGCTCATGCCCGTGCTGTACATCCTGGTGGCTCCGTGCGAGGATTCGAGATGGTGCAGCTTCCTGGCCTTAGACTGCATGGAAGGTGAGGGAGAAGGAGGAGAAGGGGGCGGAGCGAGCACGACAGGACTGAGGGAGCAGGACGGTCCAGAGAAAGGGGCAGGGGATGGAGGGGCATTAAGAGAGAAGCTTTCGAAGCAGGGAGAGCGAAGAGAAAGAGGAGAGGTGGGGCGTGAAATGTGAGATGGGAAAGGAGAGGGAGAGACGGAAAGCGGGAGGGAGGGAGGGAGGGAGGGAGGGAGGGAGGGAGGGAGGGAGGGAGGGAGGGAGGGAGGGAGGGAGGGAGGGAGCAGCTTCTCTTCGATGCTGGAGTACCAGGAGCAGAAGGCAGGGAAGGTGATCCTGTCGTCGTTCTTGTCTTCTCTGTAGTTGAGGAGATCTTCGCAGAGTTTGATCCTCTCAAGCTTTGTGATGTTCTGCTCCTCACTCAAGTTGTCAAGGACTACATCTGCAACC